GGGGAGGACCGGCCTCGCCATATCTTGCCTATGTGACATCCTGAAATTTGTCCAATTGGGGTTTATGAAATGCTTGATTTTATGAACGTACTCGCAGTTAGTTCTCGCCCGGAACTGATCATTTCTAGGATACTAACCAATAGGGAAAAGCTAATTAGGGATTTAAATTCGTCCAACTAAAGAAAATTCGATCGTGAATTGATTTTCGACCATAAAATCGTCGATGTGACATTTTGAGCCACTGTTGGCCGATCCAAGGATAGCCAGGGGTCAGTTCGCCACTGTCATAGTAGTGGATCGTGAGTGATTCCGCGGGACCACGAAATGAATTGACGGATGATCCTGAACCTATACCAAACGTTCGTGCCCCTGAGATCTAGCGGTCGATCCTTGCGATTTAAATGACAACCGAAGTCGTCACGAACCGAATGAACTTGCACGTGACTCGATTTATTATCAGTCACGAGTCGAATATACGAATTTCCCCCAAGAGCGGCCCGTTAGTTTGAGAAACACTCAAGTTACGTTTAATGAAAATCGATTATTAATTAGAGCACAAATTGGACATCGGAAAATTAGGAAGTCACAACGGGACGTTAGGACGACGTTGTGGTTGAAACGTACAGCTTCGGATTTGCCCGAATCCTTCAGAAAAATTCGATTTTGGCGAGAAATGAGGAAAGTGACCGTTTTACCCCTAAAGGTTTGTTAAGGGCAAGTTTTAAGAGGGAAGGGCATTTTGGTCATTTTGCCCTGGCTTTGGAAAATGACAATTTTAACCTTGGACTTTTTGAGAAATCCCCAAATTGCCCTTGGATATTTTGAAAAAGATTCGATCCGGGCCGTTGATTTCAGGATAAGATCGAATCTAGGCCGTCGGTTGGATTTGTGAGAAAAGGGCAAGATCGTCATTGTGGCTAGTCAATTATTGGTTTGACTATTTAGCCCCCCAAGCCCTCTCTCTCTTCACTCTCTCTCCCTCAAACTCTCGGCCATCTCTCTCTCCCCCTCCCTCACCGTGAGCTCTCCCCCTTGGCCGATCGCCACCGCACCGTCGCCGCCGGCCACCGCCCGTCACCGCCGCACCGCCTCACCACCCTCACACCACCACCACCTCACGCCGTCCCCTCACCCTCCCGACTCTCTCTCCCGTGTGGCCGTGGGTCACGGCCAAGGGAAGCCGCGCCGCCGCCGCACGCCATCCACTCTGTCGAGCCGCGCCGCCATTCGCCGCCGTCCCCGCCAATCGCCCCCGCTTTTCCGCTCTAGCCGCGTTAGTTTAGAGTTTCAGTAAGTCGCGCTCTAAACCTTATTTAGGACGTCGGGTATCGACGGACAATTTAGGGTGGATTCGGGTTTTTATTAGACACGGATTTGTAGGATTTTGGGAGCGGAATTGATTAGCGGGCCTTAGAGATGAATTTGGGAAATTTTGGTGGAAAATTTGGGGTTAAAAGCGAGCTGTGGGTGGCTGAATCGAGTGCTGTGGTGGTGTGTTCGGTACGTAAATTGGGTATTTGGATTCGGCGATTAATCGTGAGAAAATATCGTGAATGGCCGAAATTGATTCGTCGAAGTTTGGAGGTGGAAAAATGAGAATTTGTATATCGATAGTGTGTTTGTGATGTGGCTGAATTGTGATAATGAAATTGGGTGCATTGATGTGTAATTGATTGATTGAAATGTGCTTGATTATGTGCACGCTCGAGCCAGATTGAATTAATTGTTAAATTGGCCATGTTGAATGCTTAGAGAACATGAAAAACGTATGTGAATTGTTGCGTGCACGGGCCTCGTGTGATTGGCCAATTAGTGGCAAGTGATTGTTGAGTATGCGAATGAGCAAAAGACTGTGTGGGGTGTGGCGTGTGTGATCGTGGAAATCCCTGAGGCGGTATCACTACGCGGGGAAATGTGCCATCCTGAGGCGTGTACTTCAACGCGGGATGATGCCCGGTATTATCGGAAGACTGCCAACCTGAGGCGTGTACTTCAACGCAGGTTGTGCCGTAGGTGGTGGATGTTGAGCCTGGGGCGTGTACTGTAACGCGGGCAAGAGACATGACCTGAGGCGTGTACTGTAACGCGGGCCCTGGAGTGTTGTGATAAGATAGTCGCAGTGAACCTGAGGCGTGTACTATAACGCGGGTCACTGGCGAGTGGTGTGGAAAAGAATGTGATGAGACAAGCGTGAATGCGTGAAATGTGATTCGAACGTGCATGTGATTGGAAAATATAGTATTACGGCTAACGTGCAGGTTGCACGCTGGGAAGGCCAAGTAAGTACTGATTGTGTGTGTGTTATGTAATGGTTGGGTGTGTGATTGTGTTTTGTGATTGTCTGGAGGTACGTGTAGCCTAGGTGGGGTTTAGGGGTGCACTTACTGAGATATAAATCTCACGATTGTTTCAACCAAACATTTCAGAACCCCGGCAGGAATAATGAATCCTCAACCGCCGCCGCCGCCTGAGCGTTTTGGAGTACCAATGCACACCGAGCATGATGTCGTAGAGTTTCCTATGGAAGACCATATGACCTAGATTAGGTATACTACTATAGTGTTTGTAGATGTAGGATTACCCCTGTGGGAGCCCCATACATACACCGCCTGGTTCTTTAGGGACGGGGTAGATGAGTTCGGTCCTGTCCGCGGATTTGACGTCCCCTTTGATGGAGTTGGGGACTGGGACCCTTCTGCGATTCCTCCCCCGGATGGTGAATTGACTAGTGTAGAGACCAGTTTGGCACAGTCAGGACAACATCTGGCGCCCGCAGCACCAGGGTCTTCGGGGGCTGAGCACGAGCTAGAGCCGGAAGGGTCTCTAGCAGGAGACGACCCCATGGATGTGGATCTTGAGCCAATTCCAGAGGAAGAACCGGAAAAAGAAGAGGCAAAGGCCGAACCCGAAGATGTACCTGCGGAACCGGAGGACGAGCCTGCAGAAGAACCAGAGTATATACTCCCGTTTGAGCAGTGGATGGATCCCAATTTTGTACCCGAGGACGATTTCTTTGAGGAGCCAGTCGAGGAAGAACAGGTCGAGGTTCCAGCTGAGTCAGGTGATATAGACCACCCGATCGAGATTGAGGCAGAGTCGGAGTCCTCGGAGGAACAGGCTGATCAGGGAAGTTCAGATTCAGAGGACGAGGAATCAGACTCGGAGTGGACGCCGAGTAAAGGGCGTAGGGGGCTAGCGTAGAGGTTGGAATAGGTTTTTGGAGGTATACTTTTTTTTGCAATAGAATATCCGGGTCATCGATCCTTTTTTAATATCTGTGGTTTTAAAGTATGGTGTGCATGTGTATATGGCGGATGTCAACTGTGAATATTGTATAAGTTTAGATAAGAAATAAATATGTGTATTCTTCCTGATTATCTCAGTTTTATTTGTCTGGGTATTTTGTGGTTTTCGCTGATCGTTTTAAATCTCTGATATTTATAAATGAGGTCGGCGATACCCTGGGATGTCGCATTAATCGACCAATGAAGGATGGCGCGTGCTCGATGGGGTTCGGGGCGTGACAGCCTGGGCGGGGTCGACCCTCACTAGGGCTCGCCCTTACCCAGGCGATGGTTGGCTGGGCCTCGCCTGTGGCAGGCGACGACGGCCGACCATGGCGGTGGCCAGTGTCCGGTCACCGGCCAAACCAAAGGTTAAAGAAAGGAGGAAAAAAAAGAAAAAAAAATCAGAAAAAAATATTTAAAAAATCAAAAATATATTAAAATATTATTAAAAATTATCTACGTCAGCGCCGGTGGTGCTACGTAGATCATCCGGCATCCATGTTAGAAAAATCCAGATAAAATTAGCTGGAAGGACTGAATTGGTACAAAGACAAAAGGTTAGGACTGAATTGGCACAAAAAAAAGGTTTAGAACTAAATTGACACAAATGCAAAAGGTTTAGGACTTTTTTGACACTTTTCCCTATCGCCGGCCATTACTAAGACCAGCCATAGGAAAGAAGGAAAAAATAAGAAAAGGAAAAAGTACAAAATAAATAAATAAATAAAAGCAAAAATTGTCCACTTCAATGCCGATTGTGCTACGTAGGATGGCCAGCATATAGGTCAACAATTTCTAGCCAAAGTTGACAGAGAGGCCTACATTGTAAAGTTATCAAAAGGTTTAGAATTAAATTAGTCAAATTGAAAAGTTTAGGACTGAATTGGCCGCCATATAATAGGTCTAGGACATTTTTGAAAAATTTCCCGTACCTTCTGCATAATGAGAATAGTGACGCATACAATTATCTCGATCAATTTTTTCTAGGATTAAAAGTTATATCACAATTTTGTAGCCTTAACACATCAAATTTTTCAAATCCATGGCCGCACCTAGGGTTCCTGGAATTCTCCTTATCCTTGATTCGGATATCTCACCAAACTAGTCGTCTAGGTAAAAATTAAGAAAGCAAGTGATTTCAAACTATTATCTAAATGAAAAATCAACGGGCCGTTCCAAAATAAGAAATGGAAATTCAACGAGATCATTATGTGGTGACGTTATCGATTAGTGGGCCCGTTGTTAGTGACACAGAGTCACTCAATCATAATGTGTAAGAATCTTCTTTGAAAAAAAAACTTGTGTGATGTGATGCGTCAGTGACATGCATAAATGCGTACCGTACGTGGTGAGGTGCAAAGCGACCATATAAACATGCAAGAGGTCATTCCATCGTAATATTGCCTGGTGTCGATGAAAGTTACACCAAGTATCGGTTCGCTAATGGCAATTGGCACATTTCTGTATATTTTACAGCTACTGAGCGACAGTGGTCTTCGTGGGATCATCTTTTCTCCGCTTGAAGAAGGATCTTAGAGTCTAAGTTCGGGGCAAGAGGATCTCTTACCGTCTTCTTTTCTCTCCTCATCGGGGTTTTTTCACAGACGTGTCATGATAATGATGAACGGAACGGGCACATATAGAGGGCACAATACAACGTACAGTTTTGCGGTGCGTCTGCGATGCGATCACAAAGGATGGGCGTTGGGGATGATGTGTCTCTGGAAGAACTGGAGCATCCAACTTTTTGTACTTCTCGGCTTGATTTTCCAGATCATTCTTGCTGTATTAGGAAGCCGCAGAAAAATCTCTAGTGCCAAGACTATCAGATTCGTTATTTGGGCATCTTATCCGCTTGGCTCTTATATCTCGACGCATGCGCTTGGCAAGCTCACGAGCGTCAGCCTCAACAAGTCCGAGGAAGAGTACGATACCGAACTAATAGTGCTGTTGGCCCCTTTAACTCTACTGCTGCTGGGGAATCCAGATAGCATCACCGCATATTCAATGGAAGACAACTGGCTCGGCTGGAGGCGTGTATTGAACCTCATCGTCACATTTCCTTTCGTGGTGTGGATCCTAGTGCGAAGTTGGAAGACCTCCATCCGGATGATACTGTACTTTCCGATGTTTGTTGCTGGGATAATCGAGTACGGAGAAACAATTTGGGCACTCTATTCTGCGTATGACGAGAGCACGAACATGACACCAGTCACTCCAGGGGATTTCAATGAAGAAAAGGAGATGTTCTTTGCACTCCTTACACGGATGAACTGCCAAAAAGTCATTCCCGATCAGGAGATTTACTTTGAGGCTTACTATTGGTTTGATTGCTTAAAGCCTCACCTTTTGGGCAGGCTGAAACACCCTTTCTTCAAGTTGGATCGTAGGTGTCCGATCAACCAATACAGTCCTGAAGATGTATTCTTGATAACCGAGATGGAACTCGGGTTCACGTATGGTGTCCTCTACACTAAAGCACCAGTTCTTTATACCAAGCTCGGGATCACGCTCCGGGTAATCAGTTATTTCAATTTGCTGTTAACCTTAGGTGGATTCATGGGGCTTTTCTTTGACAAATTCTTGAGAGATCCGTACGTTATCTACATGTTTGGGCTGCTGATTGGAGTCGTGCTTCGGGAAACTTACCAGTTGTTGAAGCTGTTCAATTCGGATTGGGTGATTATAAAAATTACGAACCACCTTGAGAATCCAATGGTCCTGAAGTTTCTGCAATTTCTTGTGAAACGATCTCTGAAGAAGGAAAGGCGGTCTAACAGAATTTGGCAATTTAATTTTCTGGATTTCTGTCTATCCGAGAAACAGCCCTGGCACTTCAAAATCCTTAAACTGTTCGGCAAGGCGGAGAAGTTTAAGAGATATTGGTTAAAGAAATCTATGCAAATTCCGAAGTATGTGAAAGAATTATTGGTTAAAGACATGAAAAAGTTTGAAATAAAGAGAGACTATCGACCCTTCACTAAAAGAGGCCAATGGTCGCTCGGCGCTCACGAGTCTCTGGATAAGCTCGAATGGAGCATCGAGATGACATTTGATAGAAGCATCATCATATGGCACATCGCAACCCATGTTTGCTACCACTCATGCCACAAAAATTCAAATAATAAGGAGACGAGCAAACTGATATCAGATCACATGATGTTTCTTCTGGTACATCCTCAAATACTCTCTTTGACCACAGCCGAGATCACTTACCATCACACCTACACAAAGCTCAAGACGTTCTTGAATAAATTCGCGAAAGAGAACATCCTGAAAGTTCTATTGGCGCCCGATCCCGGGCAGGAATGTAACTCCTTTGAAGCAGTTATCACCAAAGGATGGAATGTCCTTGAGGAAGCGCGAACACTCGCGAGAGAGCTGAAAAGTACAAAAGACACATGGCAGCTCGTCAGCAGCATTTGGGTTGGGATGCTATGTTTCGCGGCATACAATTGCCAGCAATACCAGCACGCGAAGCTACTGAGGCAGGGTGGAGACATTATCACTCATGACGCAGCGTTCAACGAGTAATTCAAGCAAAATCTTGCTTAGAGAGAAAAAAAATCTCGAAATTCTATATTGATGGTAATGTTCTGTATGTCAAAACAAACCCTTAAACAAGCTTATATACCTATAACATAACCCTACTAAAATTGGAAAGCGTAAAAAAATCAAAATTAGGAAACTGCCTTTTTTAAATTAACTCATAAAAAAATATCCGATGTCGTCAACCGGGTCCGCCGGTTCTAGTCGCATCATCGTTTCGCCTTCCATTTGGACTTTTGCCTGTCCAATCGGTCCAGAAACGCATAACTAATAGATTCCGCATCATTCTCCTCCACTTGAAAAAAAACTCGTCCTCGAGTTAAAATCAAGGTCTGGATATAACGGCTCTGCGGACTCATGAAATGGTGATAAATCAGCAACATTGAAAGTGTTAGATATGCCCATACTATGTGGAAGGTCTATAACATAAGCATTATCGTTGATCTTCTTGCTGACAGTGTAAGGCCCATACTTATTTTGCTACAATTTGCTATAAAATCCCACTGGCAATCGCTCTTTACGAAGGAAAACCATGGCTTGATCACCTATCGCAAACATCTGCTTCCGCCTGTGTTTGTCTACTGCAGCTTTATACTTCTGATTAGCTTCCTCCAGCTTCTGTTTGACTTCATGATGCACCTCCACAATCTATTTAGCCATATGATCCGCTGTTACACTTTTATCCGCTTGCTTAGGCAACTGTACCAAATCCAGAGTATGCTGAGGCGCCTTTGTATAAACAACAGAAAAAGGCGACCTGCCAATAGAACTATGAACTGCATTATTATAAGCAAACTCTGCCTGTGATAAAGCAACATCCCACTGCTTCGACTTATCTCCACAAATGCTTCGAATCAAGTTTCCCAGAGTTCTATTAACCACCTCTGTTTGCCCATCAGTCTACGGGTGAGTAGTGCTACTGAAATTCAAAGATGAATCAAACAATTTCCATAAAGTCCGCCAAAAATGCCCCAGAAATTTGCTATCCCTATCTGAGGTAATAGACTTGGGCACACCATGCAAACGAACCACTTCCTTAAAGAATAATCTGGCCACACTTACAGCATCAGAAGTCTTCCTACAAGGAATGAAGTGCGCCATCTTGAAAAATCTGTCAACCACAACGAAAACAGAATCCACGCCTCTTTGTGTCCGTGGTAAACCAAGCACAAAATCTATGGATAGATCTTCCCATATATTGTTAGGAACAGGTAAAGGCATATACAAACCTGTATTCTTAGATTGACCCTTAGCAGTCTGGCAAACATAACACTTTTGTACGTACGTGCTGACATCTTTACGCAACTGGGGCCAGTAAAATCGCTTCCGGACTGCGGCAATAGTTTTATCACAACCCAAGTGTGCAGCTAATCCACTATCATGTAAATCACAAATTACCTTCTCTTGTAATGATGTTCGAGAAAGGCAAAGCTGGTTGCTACGCATCAAATATCCTTCCTGCACATAAAATTCTTGCACAGGTTGACTAGCAGCACATGACTTCCAAATTTGCCCAAAGTCATCATCATCTGCATAACAGTCTTTCAGCTGCTTGAGCCCCAAGATATCTTGGCTTAATGTAATCAACAAGCCAGCTCTCCTATTCAATGCATCTGCTACGACATTATGCACACCTGACTTTTGCTGTAATCTGAAAGGAAATTTTTGTAAAAATTGGCACAATCGCGCATGCATATCTTTGCTAATCCTCTTCTGACTATTCAGATACTTCAAAGCTTCATGATCAGAATAAAGGACGAATTCTTTCCCAATCAAATAATGCTCTCAGGTCTTCAAAGCCCTTACGACAGAATATAATTCTTTGTCATAAGTGCTCCACTTCTGTCTCGCCTCGCTAAGCTTCTCACTGAAATAGCAAATTGGTATGTGCTCTTGAGATAAAACAGCTCCTATACCAACTCCACTAGCATCACAGTCCACTTCAAATAGTTTATCAAAATCAGGTAAAGCAAGAACAGGTACAGTACATAACTTCTCCTTCAAAATAGCAAAACTATTTTCAGCTTCCTCTCCCCATAGAAATTTGCCTTTCTTCATACATTAAGTAATTGGGGCTGCGATAGTACTAAAATTCTTAATAAATCGCCAATAAAAAGTAGCCAACCCATGAAAACTCCTAACGTCAGAAACTGTCTTAGGAGTCGGTCACTCTCTGATTGCTCTTACCTTCCCCTCATCTACATCTATTCCTTCAGCAGTAATAATAAATCCCAAGAATAACAGTTTATTAATTAAAAAACTACACTTCTTAAGATTAATATACAGCTTATTAATCTGCAAAGCTATCAATACCTCCCTTAAGTGCATCAGATGATCCTCCTCAATCTTACTATAAATCAGAATATCATCAAAATAAACTACAACAAATTTGCCAATAAAAAATTTCAGAACCTGATTCATAAGCCTCATGAAAGTGCTTGGAGCATTGGAAAGTCCGAAAGGCATTACCAATCATTCGTACAACCTCTCCTTTGTTTTGAAAGCTATCTTTCACTCATCTCCAGGCCGAATCCGAATCTGATGGTATCCATTCTTCAAATCCAGCTTCGAAAACCACTTAATACCGTGCAACCTATCCAGCATGTCATCCAATCTCGGAATTGGAAACTTGTAACCCACGGTTATTTTATTAATGGCTCTGCTATCTACACATATCCGCCAAGTCCCATCTTTCTTAGGAGTCAATAAGGCCGGAACAGCACACGGGCTCATGCTATTCTGAATGTGCCCTTTTCGCAACAACTCCTCCACCTTCTCTTTTAGAATCTCGCTCTTTTTAGGACTCATCCTGTAGTGCGGTAAATTCGGCAGATTAGCACTAGGAATTAAGTCTATATGGTGCTGAATATCGCGCATAGGCGGCAACCCATCTGGAATCTCTTCAGGCATCAGTTCGCTAAATTCCTTCAATAAAGGCTTGACTACTTCAGGCTGCTCCTTAACTTGTAATTCAGCCTCAGTCTCAATTGCTTGTTTCACGACCAACATGTAAATCTATCGAGTCTCCTTAACCTCAGCTTCAAATTTCCTCGTAAGGGTAAGGAAATTATTTTCAGCAGTTTGTTTTCCTTTGTTCTTCAGTGGCAGCAACGTATACTTCACTCCATCCTTCACGAGGTTATACTGATTGCTCCTTCCCGAATGTTGAGCATCTACATCAAATTGCCACGGTCTCCCAAATAACACATGACATACATCCATGTCTACTACATCACAATATAGCTCATCATGATATTTACCGATGAAGAATGGAATTTTGCATCGTTCAGTCACCTAAATACTTTTCGCTCCAGATTTAATCCATCCTAACGTATAGGGATTAGGATGCTTCTCCATGGGTATTCCCAGCTTTTTCACTGCCTTCTGCCCAATGATATTCTCCATGCTTCTACTATCAATAACCACAGCAAAGATCTTTCCCAGAATGGTGCACCTGGTTCGGAATAACTGATGGCGCTGCGAATCATCTTCCTGTTTTGGGGCCAACATCATCCTACGCACCACACAATTTACTTGCTCCTCTTCATCATCTTCAAAATCGTCTTCTTCACCATCTAGCTCATAGCAATACCCATCTTCTTCCTCATCTCTCGTTGCTACGTTTACGGTCTTTGTCTGAGGGCATTCATTAGATCGGTGCCCAGGCTGATTACACCTGTAATACTTTATCGCGGCTGGTTTAGCATAAGGGTTAGGGTTCGCAGTTTTATGTGCTTGCGATCCCTTATCCCTCGGCTCGTTCATAGGGCGCTTTTCTACCATCTTATCTTCCTGGTTTCGTCCTGCGTTAAAGCAATTATTGAAACTGTTCTTCTCTACCGAACTGCTCGAACTGCTACCTCGATAATTTTCGTAGCTTCTTCTTCCCCTGTCTTGCTGCATCAATTCTGCCTTCATCGCCATATTCTTCGCTTCAGTTAAATTTTGCAGAAACTGTACTCCAATTTTATCTCGAATGAAGAGTTTCAAACCATCAAGATATCTGGACACTTGCTGTCCCTCCGTCTCTGATAAATTATTCCGCTCCGCCAATCTCATAAATTCGGCCGTATACTCATGCACAGTCCGATTGCTCTGCTGGCAATGTTGGTACTTCTGGAACATAATCTGTTCATAATCGGGTAGAAGGAATTCGTGTTTCAACAGCCTCCTCATCCTAGTCCAAGTTCGAACTCTATCTTTCTCTTCTCGCTCCCTCTTATTCTGCAATCTCTCCCACCATGCAGACGCACCCCCCTTTAATCTACAGGCTACTAATCGCACCCTTTTCTCACCAGGGGTCTCCATATAGTCGAAGAATCTATCTATATCAGCAAGCCAATCCAAAAATTCTTCTATACCCAGACTTCCATTAAAATAAGGAATATCGACTTTCAATTTAAAGTCGTTACCTTCATGATCGTCGTAACGTCGTCTTCCATCTCTCCTATCATATCCTCTTTGAAATCCTCCATGACGATGTCTGCTGCCATAATCAATACGTTCCGCATCAAAATAATCGCTTTCTTTTTCTTCCGAACTCTCTGAAAATATAGGGTTATTCAACCTGCGGACAGGAACTGGCATATCAACAGGATCACCGCGAGCAAGATCTGCACCCGGCCTTCTGTCGTTCCGCCGATTCCGATTCACATCAACGCCGAGACCTTCGAACCGATCTGTTAACTCGTCAAATCGTTCTTCGAAACGACGAAGACTTTGATCGAGTCGTTGATCCAAGCGTTCCATTAAACGCTGCTCCAAACGTTGCAGTACGTCATCCCCAAGGGTTGGGGCTCCAGTCTCCTGAACATCGTCACGTCAGAATTTCAAACCTGGCTTTGATACCACCTGACGCAGCGTTCAGCAAGTAATTCAAGCAAAACCTTGCTTAGAGAGAAAAAATATCTTGAAATTCTATATTGATGGTAATGTTCTGTATGTCAAAACAAACCCTTAAACAAGCTTATATACCTATAACATAA